AAGGTTCTTATTCCTAGGCTCACGATCATACCATCCGATTTGAGGGTACCGTTCAAATTTCAGCGCAGGCAATTCCCCCTAATGGTTTCCTATGCTATGACAATCAATAAGAGTCAAGGCCAGTCACTGTCGCACGTCGGCTTACTATTGAAAAGCCCTGTATTTAGTCATGGGCAATTATACGTGGCGCTTTCTAGAGTAACGAGTCGGAGGGGCTTGAAAATTCTAATTTGTGCTGATGGAGATTCTGGCGATAATAAAACCACGAACGTTGTATATAAGGAAGTGTTTAATAATATTTAGATTTTTTTTCTTGGGCTTTTATCAAGTGATTGTGTTATTATATTTCCTATTGTCTACAATTTAGTGTATTTTTTTCCTCTATCACATAGCTTTCTGTGAAAATGGAAATTAATTGACTAGCTCTCCGTGCAAATGCACGGGTCAACAACTAGTACTTTTTGAAGAAGACCATCATACTAATTTCATAGTAATTTTGTTAATATAATTAAAAAATGTATTCATTATAAGTATAAGAACTATTTTGATTAATTTTATTATCATCTCATGGTTTTATATATGGATTATGTTCATCAATCAAAAGCACTTAAAATACATAATAAAAATATTTAAAGTAATTATGTTTAAATTATATTATCTTAATAAATAATTTAAATATAAATAAAATTTTATAAAATGTATTCAACTTAACCATGAATAAATTAAAACTCTAATGAATATATTATTTGTATAGATAATACTACTTAAAAATTAAATTATATATTAATAAATTATCTTTTGATGGTCGGGTTATATTAGGAATTATAAATTTTACATTAAAATATCTATATACATAAAAAACACTATTGAAGGTGTTAAAAATTAAAATTGTTATTATATACTATTTTACAAATGAAAATGAGTTAATAAAATTATAGTCATGTAATATTGAAATTACAGCATTTGCTAGTCATTGAAATATATCATATATCAAAATGCTTAAATTGTTTTATTTTTTTTCAAGAAATGCTTAAATTGTTTTTTTTTCCCGAAACGATAGAGATACTATTATAAATCAAAAGCGCACAAAGTGCGAATAAAAAATACAAAGCTCCCAACGGGAGAGAAAAATGGAAGGACAAGTCAAAAGACCGCCTAGAATCCCGCTAGCAACGCTAGAATAAAACTCGAACAACACAGACCAACTACACGACCACGACCCCAAAAGGGTAATAAAAACACTACAAAAAACACAACACAACACAAAGACCCCAACAGGGTAATACCGAGTGTCGGGCCCCAACAGGGTAATAAAGGTGACACTCGGGCACACAGAGACCAAATGGCCCAGACCTAAAACACAACTTCACAGAGGTCAAACGACCCAGACAAAAACACAGATAACAATATCACCACACAAAACCACAAGAAATCAACAAAACAAAACAACACAAATAAAACGAGCCCTTCCTAAACAGCAACATCGAACCAAAACCGGCGGAAACAAATCAACTACGAATCCCTTAGCCAGAAGCATCGACCCGCAACTGCCAAAACCACTCGGTTGCCTAACGGAGACGAAACCCCCCACACCGGAACCACAGCAAGCAGACTCGCACCACAGCCACGGTAATCATGTGCACCCGAAACTGCAAAGAGTACCACAACCGTGGCCCCGACCCTACATCACCTGGAATTAACCAAACAACCACCTCCTCGCCGCAGCAATACTCCGACCAGCAACAGTGGAGGAAGAATTGACTCAACGACCCCAATCGACCCAAAAATCGATCGAGAAGAGGAATGGAATTCGATACCTTCACAGCCCCGGTCGCCCAGCAAACTTGTCGCCGATCAATCAGGACGTGCCCCGCCCCAGGAACCGCACAACGACTTCACCACCACTGGACAGAGAAATCTCTACCAATGCTAACCATAGAATCGTCCGACTTGCAGGGATGAACCAACGCTGGAAGATCCATGGAGCTCGGGAGTGAAGCAGAGAAAAAAGGACGAGAACCAAGCAGTAGAAAGGGCCAGCAAAAAAATGATTTATTAATATATAATTTAATTTTTAATTTACTAACTAAATTATTATATATGCTGAAAAAATGAATTAAATAAATAAATATAGACAAAAAATATAAAATTCTAATAAAATATTCACCATGAAAATTCATGTTGCACAAGAGATAAAAGTTACTAAAAATTAAAAGTTAATTATCATAAGTTAGTATTTCATGCAATTACAGTTATTATGAATAAAAATTAATTATATGGATTTAGTGTTTGTCAATTATCGACCAGTATGTAAAATATGATTGCTCAAAAAGTTATAAGATCAATATAGTCGATAATTATATATGTACATGTAAGTAATTTATATACAATTATTATATTTTAAATCTTACACTTCTATAATAGTTGTAAATTAAGGAATAATAAAATTCATATATACCTACAAAAATAAATTGGAAAAAAAATATTTAAATTAACATTATATCATTACTGACCTAATATATATGTTGTGTTGAATATAATTGACATATCATCTTAAATATATATTAATATTTTATTAATAATTTTTTATATATATATATACTATTGCTTATCATGAACATAATTACATAAACTCAGCAGATATATCTTTGGTACATTCCATGAACAGATATTATTGAACGAAAAAAGAGCATAAAAGTGAAAAAACAATTCCGTTGCCGGGACTTGAACCCGGGTCTCTCGGGTGAGAGCCGAGTATCCTAACCACCTAGACTACAACGGAAGTTGTTACAAGTAGGATTTTAGTTACAAATATTCATACCAAATATTTGTTTGGTAGTCATTAAATTTTAGTGTTATCCCAAAGGATCCATGAGATGGGGCTTCATCTTCAAGTATTCAACGACAATTGTTGAATTGTCCGAACTATTAAATTGAAATGGATATGAATTATAAACCAAAAAACATCATTTTTTTTCTTCACCATGGAAGCTAGAAACTCAATCGAGCTTCGCAATTATGTGTCGAAACAAAAACATGGCTTTCACTATAGTTCATGTTCGAACTCTCTTATCCTCTCCCCCATCTTCGCCATTTTCTCTTGTTTATATTTATTTGAGCATCACTTTGTTAAGGAAAAAATACATAGGTGTGTGGCAAATTCTTTAAAATAAATAATATATTAATTTTTTAGCGACGTCGTAGTGCCCTTTTATTATTTTTGACAACAAAAGAACGAACACTTATAGCTAGAACAAGAAAAAACTTTTGAATTGGGGGATGACTCCATAAGTCGAGTCATCCGATGCTCAAGTAGCAAAACTGTTTGGTCATATTAGTCTCCAATCAACAACGACTCCACCAAAAACTTTTGAATTGCAGTCTCTATTCGCCAGTATCCTGTTGGACATCCAATCGTTCGCTTATTTCAAACTGGTCTGATCGTTTTAAACCTTACCTTACCTGTATAGAATGGTTATTATATGATAAAAGTTTCCAATGATTATTATTATTGTATTAAATACAAATTTTGTATTCAGGCAACCAAGAGGAAATATCATTTGCTACAATCAGATTTGTTAAGAAAAATCAACATTATAGTTCTTCCATTGCCAACTTTTCTTTCATACAAAAACCTACACTAATATTTAAGCCTTCTCACCAAAACCACAGGAAAAAAAAAAAGAAAAAGAAAGAAACAATCAAATATGAATATAAAGGACTCTGCCCCAGATTAAAATGTATAACTATTCAGAAACTAAAACATGACTTTGCCCCGGATTAAAACGTACAAATATTCAGAAACTAAAACATGGCTGAAAAACTAATATGCATCATATTTTTCACATCTCTGCTAGTAGCTCTGCTTCCTTACAACCTATTAGATTCGGGGGAAGAGAGTGCGGTTCCACCAGATAAAGCACACTATAAGAGGGTGAGCCTAGGTGCACCTTAGTGAGATTCGATCGCAAAACTAATTGGTGATGAGAGTAGTCCACTAGGCTTATAAACTAAGCTCATCTACCATATATAATCAATGTGAGACAACTAACAAGTGATATTCCAACATGTCCCATTATTTGTGAGTCTTTCGTAAGTCCAAGCCTACATAGCATGCCTGGTAGAGAGATAAGTCCAAGTCCAGAGCAGGCCGGTTAGAAAGAGTCATTGCAAGTCCTAGGACATGCCCGCTCTGATACCATTCAAACCGGGGGCAAAACGAGTGCGGTCCCACACAGGTGAAGCACACCACAAGAGGGTTAGCCTAAATTAAGCCCAAGTGAGGTTCCATCCCAAAACCAATTGATGATGGGAGGAGTAGCCCATTAGACTTATAAACTAGGCTCATTTACCATATCAAATCAATGTGGGACAACACACAAGTAATATTCCAACACGCCCCCTCACTTGTGAGCCCTTCATCAGCCTACACCTCCAACTAGGCCGGGTACATTTTTCAGCCCACAGCTACAACCAGGACGGGTACTTTTTTTTAAAAAAAAAAAAAAAAATCATCGCATGTCTCAAATTAGGCCCGCTCTGATACCATATTAGAACCGGGGGAAGAGAGTGTGGTTCCACCAGATGAAGCGCACCATAAGAGGGTGAGCCAAGATGCACCTTAGTGAGGCTCCATTCAAAATAAATTGGTGATGGGAGGAGTAGTCCACTAGGCTTATAAACTAGACTCATTTACCTTATCAAATCAATGTGGAACAACTCACAAGTGGTATTCCAACACAATCAATGTATATTTTCAGAACCGAAAGGTTTCACGTTAAAGCTCGTCCAACGAGAATTTAACGGCGCTCCTCAGTTATTCAATGTCGGCCGTAATACTTTCCCAATCAACAGTATGAAATATTGAAAAATCGACCGTTTATTGCACGAATATATGATAGGTCGATCATAACTCGGTCTCAGTTCTTGTTCACGTCGATGCATCCATCGGCACACCTAGCCGAAAACAGGCCTTCATTTTTTACACGGGAAGCTCGCTGATGTGGACGAAATGCCAGCCGTGCACGAGCTACTTCAAACTGAGCTCTTTATTCGACCCCAAATTGTCGAGCTCTTACAAGAAACTCGAGTCGAATCATGTGTTGGCTCGATTCTTCGCGCACGATAGTAAAGGCAAAAAGGAATGCACCTTCAATTTCTCGTACATGAGCGGTCAATCGTGCGCAGGGGTTGGATCAGTCGACAGGCTCGTTTTCCCATCGGTCGAGAAAAACCTGAGAGCATTAAAGGGATTGTTTTTGGATGCTCGAGTAGCCTCCGAGGGTTCAGACAAAGTACAACGGTGAATGAGATTATGGGCGTGGATCAGTCCCCACTACCGTTGATCGGCCAGAAGGCGACTAAATCCATCCGTAAATTCTCCTATTGCTTGTCGAGCCTCGACTCTACCACGAAATCGACGTTGTTGAGATTCGAAAGCAACGTAAAGAAAAAATGAATTTTTCGAAAGACGAGCCTTATAAAGGGCAATGACAACTACACGGTGAGGTTATTAAACTTAAGTATCGGAGGGCATACAATGAGTTTACCAAAGGGTACTCTTTCGAAAGGTTGTACCTGTGGGAAGCGGTGCAACTCATTTGGAAATGCGGGCTTACGGTGCGGTCAAAGCCGCGCTCGTGCAGCATTTTGACTGGTATAAGCTCACGAGAGTCCTTGAAGACCCGAGGACTCGGCTCGAGTTGTGCTACCATTTGAAGCAGGGGTTCGGGAAATTTCTAAGCTTGGTTTTGCATCTCTGACCGCGCGTCGCAACGCGGCAAATTAATATTTATATTTTTCCTCGACAAACTTCTACTAACTAGTAGTATTGGCGAGCAAGGGTCGATCTCACGAGGAGTGTGAATTAAATTGTGAATTTCTCGTATTAATTGAAACTAACAAAGCAATAAATGGGGGGGGGGGGGATTTATTAAATAACTAAAATCCTAATGAAATAAACAAAATCTAATCAATAAAAATAAAAATAAAATAAAACAAATAAGAGAAATATCTAGTTCACGGTTCCGTCTACACCCTCGACTGATTTGTCAAATCAACTTTGGTATCCAATCTCGATATCTTATGAAATTACTAGCCCTAGGCAACGACACGGTCTGTTACCCGAATTTTTCCTTAAGTTTAATTTAACCGTGAGACGCTCAGCGATTAAACCTGACTTCTTGTACAGTCTAGAAGACGCTTCTTAGATTTAATACAATCAGCCGCTTTACGTATTAAAAAATAGGCTAGACTAAGTAGTGACGCGTTCGTTCACTTAAATAGGTTGTGTTATCCCCGGTAGTTACCATCTTCCGGTTACCTCTTATGAATTAAATACAACAACAATTACGGATTGCAGGTCTAATTCAGATGTAGATATGAAAAGCCTAATCTAGGTGATCAATCTAAACAAGACTAAACACATCATGGTGAATTATTCAAAATAACACAAACAATTCCAAAAAGATAATAAAATCATCAACCATAAATTAATCAAACATCATCAAGTCGTAGGGTTCAACTTCCCCGGAACTAGAAATAAAACTACTCTAACATAATAAATAAAAATAAAAAGATAAAAGAGAGAGATTAATTATCTCCCTCGTGTGCGGATGCGGCCTCCCTCCGCAATTGATCGGCTTCCCCTCGTATCTTTGTCCGTTCGCGGTTTCTTCTTTTTATTCTGCTCTGCGTGAATGCCGTATGTAGGCGGCTCTCCCAGAAAAAATAAAAAATAATGATCTCCTGAGTATGTAAAGTGGCTGCCATTATATACCTCCAGGCCCGCGTGACTCCCTTTCCAAAATAAATAAGGCATGCCAAATTATTCTCTCATGGTGGATATAGGATTCCTTTTCTTTCCAAGTGATCTCAAATAAATCCTACAGGTCATGATTTGGACCCATTCATTATTTGGGCCTGCACTTCAACTTAAGCAAATCAACAAAATCAACATATGGGCCATATTATTCCCTCTTTTCATGGGCTCATATTGGGCTGGTATGGGGCCGAGTATGGGCTACCCCGTATTCTGAAGGCTGGAATTTTGTTTATTGATACATCGCCTGTAAAAATACTCCAATGTCCTAGAAATAAACCATAAAAATATCAAAGTACAAAAATCCATCTAATAAATAAATAAGTCAGAAAATATATAAGTGCGATAAAATCAAACATATAAAATACGCTAATAAATATATAAAACACACACTTTTTCCGACCAATCAATCTCGATGGCGTTGATTACGAGATAGGACCCGAGACATTGTTCCTCTCCACGAAGGGGTCAGTTTTGTCTGGCGTTGTTTGGGTTGAAAGAGATTACGCTGCTCAGAGCTTATCATCAGCAGAATGTGAGGTTCATATATGATGTTGGGAAGGAGAAGTTCTTGTTTGCTGAGGAGGATTGTTCAGAGGATAAAGGCTGAGTAGCATCAAAACAGGACAATTTTTCTTCATGAAATAATAAACTACAATAAATCTAGTTATAATCAGTATCTACCTACCTTTCTATTCTGTACTTTATATCAGATAACTCTTGTTCAATTTTACAGAGTGAAAAGATTTGGTTAACTGAAAAATTTTAGATAAGAGCTTCATTATGTCAAATGAGATACCTAGTGATGCAATAATGCTCCACTACCCACGGTGGGCACATGTTAATATGCCCACCGCTTATGTGGCATGCACACATTGGGTGATGTATTTTTTTGCACATATTAACATCACCAATGTGTGCATGCCACATAAGCGGTGGACATATTAACATGTGCCCACCGTGGATAGGGGAGCATTTTCCCCTAGTGATGATACAAACAACATAAGTAATGTTCATATCTAATAAAAACTAACATAACAAGTTAGTATATATATAAGGGTGGATCCAATAATTGGACTCTTTAGAATGAGTACGTGGGACACAATCATAATCGTTGATATTATCTCGATCAATGTCTCATAATAATTAATGGGAGTACACATTAATTAAATAATTAAAAATATTAATTATCATAATAAATAAATTAATTTAATTTTGGTGACCGGCACTCACCGACGCCTGATGACCATTGACCGGCGTTGACTGTCAGTTGACAACCGTTGACGGTCAACAGCGCCGGGAAGCTCGATTTTTCGATCGGCGTGCTCGGCCAGGACCTCGCCGACGACGGAGTGGCCGGTCAAAGAGCCGATGAAGCTCGTTTTCGCCAGCCATGACCTCGTCGGCGACGTTCGTCTTCTCCGGCGACAGACTGACTGCACAGGTCGACAGTTAGATGGAGTGACTGCACATGGTTGACATCGTCTTCTTCGGCCGACGCTCGGAAATCAACGTTCGTCTTCTCCGACTGTTTTCTTCGGTGCATCCACAGTCGGGCAACCATGTTCGGCCATCTCACCTTTAACCCACAGAAATTTTTTATTACATAAAATAAAAAGAAGAACCAGACTACTTCTATAACTTTTATAACCAAAAAAAAAAAATGACACTATGATAATAAATATATAATAAAATAATAAATTCAATACTATATGGTGAACAAAAATATATAAAATTGTTATTGTTTTCTTATATCAAGGAATAAATATATATACTAAAAAAAATTATATTAGTATCAACATTTTAGCGGGATAGTATATTAATTAATTTATACACTAGGGATAATAGGGTGAGGTTTATCATTATGACCAAAAAAAAAAAAATGATCAAGAGATGTGTAAAATAGATAATCCATCTCTATTATTTTTGAGGCCTAACGGACAGACCCTATGAAACTGACTCATTTAACATCTCTGACCCGTATATCGCACGGTTTACGTATTAGTTTATGATTTATTTTATTAACTAATATTAGATGCATTTATTACTCTTAATTAATATTAATGAAAATACAAAATTATGCTCAGTTTTAATGAATGTACGAAATTACTTAACGAATGTACGAAATTTTCTATTATTTAGTTCCAACTGGCGAAATTAGATTATTTATCTTAAAAATAATAATAAGATGATACAAAAGAATGCACAATTTGCAAAGCGGGCTAAAATTTAAACTGAATGCCTAACGTTCGTGAACAAAAGTTCGTTCGAGCTCGTTCGTGTTCGACAAAAGCTAGTTAATTTGTTAATCAAATCGAGTTCGAACAGAAAATTAGGCTTGTTTAATAATCCAACAAACACAAGCTCGTTTGTGAACATTCGATTGTGTTCGCGAACATTAATTTAATATAATTTTGTTTTATTTTTTATATATTTCTAATAAAAATATAAAATTTACTATAATTTATTTTATTTTTTTATATATTTACATAGTATTTTTTAATAAAAAACTAAAATATAAATATATTTTTATTTTATTCTTTTATTTTTGAGTTCGAACGAACAATTTCTAGTTAATCAAACATATTTAAAAAGTTTATGCATTAAATTATTCGAACACGAACGAACTCGAACTTTGACGAACAATTAAACGAACGAACACACAATTTTTTGCTCAAAAAATAAACTAACGAACACGAGCTCAAACAGCTCAAACTCGATTCAGTTCGATCCGTTTACAGAACTATCTAGCACCGTATCATAACAATTCAAATTATATAAAATTCTAATCTCTAGTCAATTATTTACAGCCACTTTCGTATTCTAGCTAAGTCAGAAAAAAAAAAA